AGGAGCCAAATGAACTTGTGAGATGTGGCATGACAACAACGGCCACTAGCTAGGGCGAACGGGATGTTGTCGGCCATCGGCTAGATAGGCTAGTGTAGACGGGACGGCGGAAGCGACACTGGCCAAGCATGCCAATGCGAACGGAACGATGGCAGTGGCACTGGCCAGCAACACTCGATGAGACATCATCACGTCAAACGAGGTTATGGGACGAAGGTAGGGGCACAGGCCAGTGCGGACTTTAATCATGCGTGATGTTCCCAGTCTGATTTCATGTTTCCAGGTCAAATCGAACTCGACTCGATTTTATAAATGATTAAAAATCTCGAACCTGAACTCAACTCGTATGACAAATGAGTTGACTCGAACATGAAATTTTTTGGGTCGGATCATATTTTGACAACCCTAGACTGCATTATAGCATGCATTACGTAAGCTGTCACAAAAAAAAAATTTATAATATTTGACCATCACACGATTTTGCCATGCCTTTAAAACCATCAAAAATTACTTTTAATTCATTCATTTTTCTATTAAGGATAGGTTACATTTGTGACAGCTACAACATTTTTTAAAGATAGTTGCAAAATTGTTGTGGAGATAATTTTTAAAGATGTAGAAATTAATTTTCTTGCATTAAAATTTATTTAAAGCAATAGAAAATTAATATCTAAACATAAATTATGATTGCTGTCTGAAAATCAAAACAGTAAGAAAATTGTCATAAACAAAACTTTAATCCCCATTCATATATCTTAAAACGTGCTTATGCAGTTTCTTTTATACATATATTGCTGATAAAAATAAAAACTTATCCTAAAATTAATTTTGTTAAATCAATCATAATTTTTTTTGGAGGGCAGATAAAGCGCTTTTTTTTAAAAAAAAAAGTTGTCGGATATTTAGTTCAAATAAGATAAACTCATATGCACAATATTTGTGCAAGATTTGAACACCAAATCTTTCAATTAATAGTCAAAGTTCTCAACTAACATATCATATCAAATTGAATTGACTTAAAAATTTTGTTAATCAGTACGTTATGTGCTGAAGCGCAACTCCATCACATTCACACGAGTGATGAGCCTTTTAGGGAAGAAATAAAAGATTTAAATACCTGAAGATATGGGAATCAGGAAATGGTTCATTGCATGTGATTTTCATCAATTAATTAATGTGCGACGACTGCCTTATAAAAATATTAGCATTTTGACAGATGACCATATCTACCTATACCTTAAAGAATTTTCCATCTCTCCCCTCCAAATTTCACTCTACACTAAAATATATAGTATTGTTGCGTGTTAGAAAATACGTGGCGGTAGAGTTTATAAATTCGCGTCCGAGCGTTGCACGAATATTCAGCACACAAACAGAAAACAGAAATCAACACCAAGATTTTTACGTGGAAAATCCGAAAGAGGGAAAAAATCACAGGGCCTCGCCCAGTTGTAAAGTTCTACTAGTGTTTGTTTAAAGTACAAAGGTTGATCTATCTTACAAATCAAGACGATCAGTTTACAATCAACTTCTCACAAAGTTACAAAGTTTTGCAAATTCCCGGCGCTTCCCGAAAATCCGGCAGAGTTCCGGCGTCTTTAGGCGGCGGGAAGAGCTTCGGCGGTGGTCGAGGAGGAGCTTCTTCCTTCTCTTCCTTCTTCTCTTCTTCTTCTCTCTCTTCCCTTGAGTCCCCTTTGTGAAGAATGAGGGCTATATTTATATATTTTCTGGAGTGGCATGGCTTGTAAATAGGTGTGAGATCATGGGCGAATAGGGAGTGATTTGAATGGATGGCCGATATTGAACCCTTCGATCGTGCACTGTTCGTTGGACATTTGGAGACCTTAATGATGTCGGAATTTGGCGATATTGGGCTCGTGGATTTGTCTTGTCGAGTCGCTCGATTCGAGTATAAGCTCGTTAAAATCGGAGACCATTTGGTAACTCAAATTGCGGTTTGAACCTTCCAACGGCGCTTCGGGTCCTTGATTCGGACCCATTTGGGATCGGATTGGGTCGAACTTGGTGTCGTTGGGTTCGTATTTCCGAGACGCTTAGTTTGACTATAAGCTCGCTGAAATCTGATTTCGAATGCTCTTGATTTGAATTTTTGAAGTTCCTGATTAGATTTTGCCTCCAGATTCGTGCTTGATCAAGATAATTTTTTTAGAATACATCAAGTATATATTGTTTTCATCAATTAGAAGTAACGAGTATGATTAATCACTCTTTTTTTATAGTCATATATATGATCAATTTAATAATACTAAAGCATCAACCTAAATCCATAAATAAGAGGCTGAAGGTTGTGTTGATTTTATATAATTTTACATAATTATCTATATTCAAATATATTTCACAAAAAATTCCCACTTTATAATTTTCTTTTCTCTATCAAATTTTTGGGTATATTTTTCTCTCAATATTCTTAGTACAATTCAATTTATACGTAATTCATAAATAATTCTGAAATATATATACATATATAAGTCTGATTTTTATCATGGGTTGATTTAGGTTTTGTTTGGAACAATTTTCTTATTTCTTCTTAAAATAATTTTTTAGTACTAAATTTTTTAACTGAATTTTTTTTACTATAAAGTTATTTTAGATATTGGTGTTAAAATTTGACACGACCTAAAACCTGACCTGAAAAGTTCTAGATTTTGATCAACCAGTTTACCATATAGGTTGGGTTCATGTTCGAGTTTTCGGCCCATTTGCAAAACCAGGTCTCGTTCAGGTTGACCCGTAAACCCAAAATCGACCTAGTTTGAACCGGAAAATGGATGTTTCATGGCTCGTGTCTGGTGCGTGAGCATGACCTCGCCTTGATGCTGTTCGCGTCCGCTATTCGGCCTGTTCGAGATGTCGAGTCGCATTGTTGCAACCATCGAGTCACGACATCGTGTCTAGTCGAGATGTCGGTCATCGAGTCGCAGTCAAAACCATTGTTGTTGCAGACGTTGTGCAATGTCTCACGTGACCCAACAACCAGCAGATCCTTCGTCCGTCTATCTATACTCGATCGCCAGGCGCCTACGTTTGGTCGACGTCCACCCCACCCCGTAGGCCGCTCTGGCACTGCCTCACCTCGCCGCCTTGCCGCCTCGCGTGTCATCGCACTCACCCGTTTTTTAATCAAATGGGTTCGCGAGTTGGGTTGGGTCAACCCAATAACTCGAGCACGTTGGATTCGTGTTGAAATACCTGACCCAGTTGCACAAACGGATCGAGTTCAGGTTGCCTCGTTTTAGCCCCGAGTCAAATTGGATTCGACTCAAATCTGACCCATCAACCCATTTTGACACCCTTAATTTTAAAAAGTAGTTAATAAAAAAGTTATCCCTTAATATAAAAGTTTAATTGCTCAAAAAAAAAAAAAAAAAAGAATTGTAAGTTTGTAATGGTCAAAATTGGGTGAAATTGTTGCGAGTGCTCGCTTGTCCAATTGGTTTGCAAAAGGACACGCCTTTCTCATGTTCAGTCTATATTCTTTGGTGCATAAAGTCTTTAACTTGCTTCCTTTAATTTTTGACCCGACTAATATTAGCCAACTATTCCACATTCAAATCATATAAGTTTTCTATTTACTTTTTAGTACAACGCGGTAGTATTTATGCGCAAGTAATTGTCTACGCAACTCCATATCCCAATTTTCAGCAGTCTTCATTTAACTAACAGGCTGTTCAATTATGTTTGCCAATTCCCTCCGCTCCTGCAACCCTTCCTCCGTCGGGCTCACGCTCCCGTCGCCGGAGCCACACGGCAGCTCTCCCGTCAGCCGCCGCGCTCTGTTTTTCCGTCCAATAACCTTCTCACCACCGTCAACTACTCTCGACCGAACGCCATTAATCCTCTCAGTTGAGATGCAGTCGTCAACAAATAATTCTACCACGGAATCACCAATAGCTGATCAAGAAGACGCCAGGTATGAAATATTTATTATATTTTTATAATTAATTAATATAGTATATATTGATTAATCAATTAATTATTATTATACCCTAATTTTATAAAGGAATAAATTTAGCTCCGGCGAAAAGACATTAGCTTCAAAGTCGGAGAATACCGGCTTGAATCTCGGCCGGTTGTTCGCTCTAGTCAATATCCCCACATGGTAATTAAGAATTGTGTAAAAGCGCTTTTATGAAAGTAATTATTTAGAAGCTGTGTTTTTTGCTTCATTAATTTATGTTAATTAATGGTGAGTTTATGCTTTAATCAGGGCTAAATTTGCTTTGGGATCTCTAGTTCTCTTGACCATACCAACGCTAAGAAAGTTTCACAGCCTGAAAGGTAATATTTCCGTTTTCTGACAAAGTATAATAATATATTGATCACGTGCATATTTGCGCTAAGAACACACGCATGAATCTGAAAAAAAAAATTATTATTGTGACAGATGTGACGAAGACGGTGGAAGAGGTGGCGGAGGTGGTGGAGAAGGCGGCGGAGGTGACAGAGAAGATGGCGGAGGAAATAGCTGAAGCGCTGCCTGAAGGAAGGGAGAAGGAGGCTGCACTCAAGTTGGAGAAAATTGCTTTGTTGGTTGACAAGGAAGCAGAGCTCACCGAGTCGATCATCGACAAGGTAATTAGTATTAATCTAATTTAATTAATAGTGTTTAATCAACGGGGCTTCTTAGACTTCATGTAATGCAACATTAATAAGCGTGCTGGATGACAGAAATGAATATAGAAAAATTCTTATAAGATGTAAGAAGATTAATTAACATAAAAATTATAAAAAATTAAGTTGGTCTTAATTTTTAATTAATTACTAATCATAACAAAGCAGGTTGATGAGGTGGTGGAAGTGCTTAATACAAATCTGAAGGTAGTCGAAGGCGAGACTACGAAGATCGATGAAGAAGATAAGATGACTCTGAAGAAGACTGTGGCAGATCAATCGAAGGAATCAGTGCAATCATGAAATGTTCTTAATTCGATCATTTACTCGATCTCTTTTGTTCATTCGGTGTTACAAAATTTGTATAATATTTATTGTAATTTTTTTTTTTAGAATGGGATTGTGAATCAGTTGATTTGGTGAAGTTAAAATATTATTGTTGGGATCATAAAAATTCTCATCGAGTTAAATTAAATTTTAACTTATATTAAATTAAATTTTAATACATTTCATAGAAATTTATGGTGATTGATTCCTTTCAATAAGCAAAATACGTTGATGTTACAATAAATTCGTGCAATTTAATCTATCAATTAATTTTTTTATTGATCTATCAACTTCTAAAACTCTATCATTATATATGTTTTTATCGTCCTATTGTCATCACTTAATCGCTATCATTACCATCTATTATTTCTCAAGCAATCTGTGATAATCCATAGGAGATCAAGCTAGTATTTGAGCAGTGTGATCTCATTATCTCCAATTTAAGTCAAGAACATATTTTTATAATTTTACTTGCATATTAGATCATTTCAACTAAATATGACCTAATAGTTTTAATTTTCTTTCCGTTTTTTGAATTTTCCACCCAAAAACTTCTAATGCTTACTATGAAACTCCACTTTTTAAGAGTGCATATATAACATATTCACATAAATCTAAGATGTTAAACTTTTTTTCTACTATTGCTAGCTAATATTCCATACACAAGAAGTTCGAAGCATATTTCACTCTTCTATAATCTGGAAAGGGGCTAGCACCAACTTTATTCAATGAAAAGAAAATTACAATGACCCGAGCAAAGCCAGAATACACTACAACAATAGGGAACAAACTCCAAAAAAACAAGTCGTGTTGACAAAACCACGAAGCATAAATAGACCCAGGAAAAACAAATGGGGCTACAATCCCTACAAACTCAGTCATGGCAATCATACACCCACTGAGTAGCGAAGGACTGACAATCCACTGGAGATAGTAAGCCACAAAGCATCCAATCGATGATCTGAAAAGAAATAAGCAACACCCAACAAGACACTGAAAAATCACTTGATAAGAGCCAACCACCAAGGTTGCCAGTCTCCAAAACCAAAAGCCAAACAAGAATAAATCGGCTCCAACAAAAGAAAACCCCATACCAAGCATAGCACAAAGCGCAGCACTAGAAAGCACGCCAACAACCTCAGAACCACCTACCACATAAAACCTAACTTATAACAGAGCTATTTTTTCTTAGATCTCCTTTTACATCTTTTTCTAGCACCACTTGAAACTGCATGATCAACTATGCTGCCCGCCATGAAATTATACCTTAATAGGATTGAAAAATTAGGGCAAATCTATTATTCTAATCTAAAATTTTTTTCACCAAATCATACCCATTTCAAAATAAACTCAAGAGTTTCTTTCTGACATCACCATGAGCTTCTCTCTCTCTCTCTCTCTCTCTCTCTCTCTCTCTCTCTGCATGTGAGAGATTTTCTTAAACATGTTTCCTTCTCTCAGCAAGGGCGAATTATTGCGTCGGGTAATCGGATATCCGGACATCCAATCCGGTGACGACACGTCACCCAAATACATTGGGTCCCGGTGCATTTTGGTGACATGGCAACACCGGACGCAATAATTTGCCCTCAGCAAGCTCTTTTCATATATGTGATTTTCCTCTAACGAGAACCAATCAATTTCAAGGTCAAAATATTAGCCAAAATATATATTATATTATAATATATATTCTTTAATTTCTTTTCATTAATTTTAATGGTTATGTTATTAGTCTTCTAATCTTGCCAACCATTACAAAGCATTTAAAGCCTTTTAGTAATTAACTGTTGGAGACTTTTTTTGGAGAAATAAGAAAAACAAAACAGAGAAGAAAACTATCGTGGAAAGGGCAAATTATTGAGTCCGGTGTCCGGATTCGTCCCGACATCAATCCGGTGTCATCACGTCATCAAAATATATCGGGATCCAGTTTATTTGGGTGACATGACGTCATCGGATTGGATATCCGAACATCCGGTGACCGGACGCAATAATTCGCCCGTGAAAAGGAGGAAGCAAAAGTACATCTTCGCGTGCAAAACTGAATAGTTTTAGACAAAACTAAAACAAATAAAGCAAATCCTAACAGTGAAATGATATCTTTTTTCACTAATACAACCGTCTCAGTTTTTAAAACAATTAACTAATAAATTTAATTTTGCATTAATAACAAAGAGCATACATAAGAAAATTCTTACACGAAAACCTTTTTAAGAAAAAAGGTTTGTTTAAACAATTATCCAATGACTTGTTCTTCCTTATTATTCTTTTGGACAAGCTGTATCCGCCTTTTTTATCGATCGATTATTAATAAGGGATTTACTAATTATATTATTATATATAATAGATCTTTTTTTTAAATAAAATTCAAATATAATTGATATATCATCAAAAAATTATCTTGATGGAGCACGAATCTGGAGGCAAAATCAAGTTGGAGATTTCAAAAATTAAATCTGGGATCATATAAACTCTGATTTCAGCTAACTTATAGTCGAATTGAACGTCTCGAAAATACAAACCCAATGACACCAAATTCTGCCCAATCCGAGCCCAAATGAGTTCAAATCAAAGATCAAAGCACATTTGGAAGGTTCAAACCATAATTTGGATTGCCAAACGGTTTCCAAACGTGGCATGCTTATAGTCGAATCGAGAGGCTCGACGAGACAAATCCAACGAGCTTAAGATCGCCAAATTCTGAAATCTTTAATACATTCAAATGTACAAAAAATGGTACATGATCAAGTGAATCAACATAGTGAGTCCATTCAATCCACTCTCAATTTACCATTGATCTCCCTCATATTTATTGTTCATGCCACTCTCAGAAAACTATAAATAAACCCCTCATTTTTCATAGAAGGGTACCCAAGCAAGAAAGGAAGATCGTGGAAAGGGCAAATTATTGAGTCCGGTGTCCGGATTCGTCCCGACATCAATCCGGTGTCATCACGTCATCAAAATATATCGGGATCCAGTTTATTTGGGTGACATGACGTCATCGGATTGGATATCCGAACATCCGGTGACCGGACGCAATAATTCGCCCGTGAAAAGGAGGAAGCAAAAGTACATCTTCGCGTGCAAAACTGAATAGTTTTAGACAAAACTAAAATAAATAAAGCAAATCCTAACAGTGAAATGATATCTTTTTTCACTAATACAACCGTCTCAGTTTTTAAAACAATTAACTAATAAATTTAATTTTGCATTAATAACAAAGAGCATACATAAGAAAATTCTTACACGAAAACCTTTTTAAGAAAAAAGGTTTGTTTAAACAATTATCCAATGACTTGTTCTTCCTTATTATTCTTATGGACAAGCTGTAACCGCCTTTTTTATCGATCGATTATTAATAAGGGATTTACTAATTATATTATTATATATAATAGATCTTTTTTTAAAATAAAATTCAAATATAATTGATATATCATCAAAAATTATCTTGATGGAGCGCGAATCTGGAGGCAAAATCAAGTTGGAGATTTCAAAAATTAAATCTGGGATCATATAAACTCTGATTTCAGCTAACTTATAGTCGAATTGAACGTATCGAAAATACAAACCCAATGACACCAAATTCTGCCCAATCCGAGCCCAAATGAGTTCAAATCAAAGATCAAAGCACATTTGGAAGGTTCAAACCATAATTTGGATTGCCAAACGGTTTCCAAATGTGGCATGCTTATAGTCGAATCGAGTGGCTCGACGAGACGAATCCAACAAGCTTAAGATTGCCAAATTCTGAAATCGTTAATACATTCAAATGTACAAAAAATGGTCCATGATCAAGTGAATCAACATAGTGAGTCCATTCAATCCACTCTCAATTTACCATTGATCTCCCTCATATTTATTGTTCATGCCACTCTCAGAAAACTATAAATAAACCCCTCATTTTTCATAGAAGGGTACCCAAGCAAGAAAGGAAGAGAGTTTTTTTTTCCAACAGACTTCTCTTCAACCAACCCAAGACTTCCACCTAGCCACCGACTATCGCCGGATTTCCGACCTGCCACCGATTGACTCCTAATTTCCACCCGGCAACCGACTGACACCAGACTTCTTCCCGGTCATCAACTGAAGTCGGACTTCCACTCGATAACCAACTGTCGTCGGATTTCCTATCTCTGTTTGTAACTGTATTTCATCAATTAACCCCACGGTTAATTATTACAATCTGATCGTCCTCAATTTCATGGACGAGTCAGTAAGTTGCAATCTAATCAAATACTAGTGGAATCATTTCAACTTGGCATGACCCCGTAGTTTTTTTCCTTTTCCAAGGTTTTCCATGTAAAAATTATAATGTTCTTTTTTTTTAAATAGAAATTTTGTACTAAAAAATTGATTTAGATAGCAATAAGAAAGTTGTTTCAAAACGAAACAAACGAAACATAAGACTCAAGTAGATTGCTTTGAGTCAACACTCAAGGAACTGATTTATCTGAGTCAAGTTCGTGTCCGAATACTTCTCTGGCCTTAATTCGAGTAAAAACCTAAATATATAACTAGTATCACGTATTAACACTAATCCAACCCGAGTCAGTTAAGCTCTCATGCTTTATAAACTCAGGTAGACCTGAAGTTCTCACCTGTTCAACAACTGGACCGGACTCAGATTGTTTAATTGATCCACTCGGATAAAATTGGTTATATTCCGGTCCGACTCATCAAATATGACCCGCGTTATAATTTACAAATTAACGCGCTAATTATTCATATGCTTAACCCGTACGCCGTACGAAAAATCAAAAAATGCTTAGAACATTCAACGTGTGTTGCATGGAACTTTCCATGCAGAAATTGAGCACGTGGTGCTTAATTTCAATGCCTTCCTGGATAGGCTTCAACGTCGATCCTCGCCTTCTCAACTCATCTATATATTGTGTATTAATCATTACAAGTTACTAAGGAATTAGCTCAAACTAATTAATTAATTAACCTTTGGATTATCTAAATTAAGCTGTTTTTTATGGCCTGTAATTCTCTCTTCTACTTCAACTCATCCTCAAGCATCAAACACCTTGGATCAAATCACAGCACTCGGATCATTCGAAAGCTCTTTCTTCCTTCCACGCCTATC